CCCCACCCTCTCCATCATGACCAACAATGCCACCATCAGTCCCACCCCACAAGCCAAAGTCCTAGGTGTCACTCTAGACTCAAACCTGTCCTTCCAACCCCATGTCCAATCGTTGGCAAACTCATGCAAGCTCCACCTCCGCAACATCTCCAAAATACGTTCGTTCCTAACCCCAGACACTACTAAACTACTCGTTCACTCTCTTATTATCTCACGTCTGGACTACTGCAACTCCCTTCTCACTGGCCTACCTCATCGCAGACTATCCCCGCTTCAGTCTGTCCTGAACTCAGCATCCAGATTCATCCACCTTACCAACCGCTCGGCATCTGCCACCCCCTCTGTCATTCCCTCCACTGGCTCCCAATTGCCCAACGCATTAAATTCAAAACTACTAACACAGACATACAAAGCCATTCATAACGCTGCCCCAAACTACCTCACCGACCTGATACCCAAATACCACCCAACCCGTAATCTTCACTCCTCACAAGACCTCCTACTTTCTAGCTCCCTGGTCTCCACCTTCCACGCCCGACTGCAGAACTTCTCCAGGACTTCCCCCATCCTCTGGAACTCACTACCCCAATCCATCAGACTGTCACCTACCCTCCTCACCTTTAGACGCACCCTGAGAACCCATCTCTTCGGGAAAGTCTACCCCGCCTTCACCTAACAGCCGATCTCCTCCTACCACTCCATCCCCCACAGCCACTTCCTCCTGTACCACTATCCCCTCCCTCCTAGATTGTAAGCTCGAAAGAGCAGGGCCCTTGACCCCCTCGTGTATTGTATTGTTACTGTATCGTCTCATGTACTGTCCCCCACTATAATGTACAGCGCTGAGCAAACCTTTTAGTGCTATATAAATACTGTATAATAATAATAATACTGTCCGTGATACTTTTTTTTTTTTTATTTGCACTAACATACAATTTTGAGGACAAGCTTTTGGGGAGTGTCCCCTTCTTCAAGTCAAAGCAGTACTGATCACAATGCTTTAGCAGAATGTTGAAAGAGATGTAGGGGATGGGAGAAAAAAAAAAAGAGAGAGATAAGACACAGCAGAAGCAAAGTCTGGGGGGGGGGGGGGACAATACTCACAGAGGCAGTCATGCTTGAGGTTGAGGTGATAGTCATAAAACTGTTGGTTAATGAGTAAGGAATCCCATGTCCAAATCAAGGCCCTTATCTCTTGTGTCAAATAGAATTATCAATCTTAGTTCAAAAGTTTTTTCTTTCCTGAATGGATTTGAAATTTCATTCCCCGAAAGATTGTCCTCAAAATTGTATGTTAGCGCAAATAAAAAAAAGTATCACGGACAGTACTCAATTGTTTCTGTCGCAAATGCACTAATACGGCTACAATCACCTCAAGCTTGATTATGCAAAAAAAGTTATAGTTGTTTGAGAAGATCACATCAAATAATTCACCAAACCATGATAATTGTTCATCCGTATACTGTATGTACCACTCAATTTCAATATTTCAATAGCATATTGGGTACCAGCATACCGATCATGTACCCTATTCTTTTTTTACAAGTGACACTAATAATCTACCAAGGTGTGATGCCATCAGAGCAAATACGGAATCTCTTCCAGACATGATTGGGTGAGCTGGAGGTGACTCTGGATCCTCATGAATCTTAAGCAATACATATAGAGTAAGGAGCTGAGGATGGTTCAAAAAGATCCTCAGTTATTAATTCACCATGTAAATCTCTCAGTACGCATGTCTTCATTTTATTCTTAATTCCCCACATAGGATAATTTGGTAACTTTTTAAATACTACTATGTCAGAAAGTTGTCTAAGAACTTCGGACTCATACATATCAGGATCATCAATACCCATAACCCTCCTTATCAGCCAGCTTAAATAACAGATCACTTCTCCCTTTCATCAAATCAAATTATTAGGAATGTGATCATGTAAATAACAAGAGTCCATAAAAACCGCAATGTCCCTAGTCACCTTGTCAATGTATGTCACTGCAGCAGCACATGTCATGGGAGAAAAACCATACAAAGATTTTTACATAAACCCACCTGTTTACAATCCAACTCAGATTCACAGCATGAAAGTGAATTGGCATTTATTGTCAGATAATATTTTTGAGTTTCAGCAAAAGTTCATTCAAGCATTTAAAAGATATGTTCAACTTTCATAACATGCTACATGATATGAACACACCAGCCTCTGCTGCCCTGCTTTGACAGCTAGTGGGGGATCTTCTCCACCCCCCCCCCCCCCCCCGTGCTAACCCGGCCGCGCCACTTATTCACAGTCCTCTGTGAATGAGGAACTACAAGTCCCGACAGCCTTAGCTGCTGTTGGCATGTAGTTCTCAATGCACTACCACAGCGCTGTGGAGCCCCGTGGTAGTTTATTGCGTCTGCCTGTCAGTGTATCTGCAGATATACTGGCAGGTCTGAAGGAGACCTGCATGACACCAGCAATATGTTGACTGCTGGTGCAATGGTTTCCAGGCTCCTGCAACCAAAAATAATAAATGCACATTTTTTGTACCTGCCAAAAATATGCATTTACTATTTTTGTTAAAAAAGTGAACTTATCCTTTAAGAGAAACTATAATCTGAGGGATATGTTGGTAAAATCAGAATATTTTTTGGTATTGATGGTACAAAAACATACATTTTTGGGTTCTTAAAGGGTAGGACCATTCCCATGTTTGAGTTGAATTCATTGTTCATTGATGATCAAAATATTTACCAAGTAATTATAGACCTGATAGTTTAACTTCTATAGTTGGGAAGATACTTGAGAGTTTAATAAAAGACAACATAGATGAGTTCTTGCTGGAAAAAAAAATATTTTAAGCAACAGACAGCATGGATTCATGAAAGACAGAAGTTGTCAAACAAATCTGATTTCTTTTTATGAGGAGATGAGCAAAACCTTGGACAGAGGGGTGGCGGTGGACGTGGTATACTTGGACAGAGGGGTGGCGGTGGACGTGGTATACTTGGACAGAGGGGTGGAGGCGGACGTGGTATACTTGGACAGAGGGTTGGTGGTGGACGTGGTATACTTGGACAGAGGGGTGGAGGTGGACGTGGTATACTTGGACAGAGGGATGGTGGTGGACGTGGTATACTTGGACAGAGGGGTGGCGGTGGACGTGGTATACTTGGACAGAGGGGTGGCTGTGGACATGGTATACTTGGACAGAGGGATGGCGGTGGACGTGGTATACTTGGACAGAGGGGTGGCGGTGGACATGGTATACTTGGACAGAGGGGGTGGCGGTGGACGTGGTATACTTGGACAGAGGGGTGGCGGTGGATGTGGTGTACTTGGACAGAGGGGTGGCAGTGGACGTAGTATACTTGGACAGAGGGGTGGCGGTGGACGTGGTGTACTTGGACAGAGGGGTGGTGGTGGATGTGGTGTACTTGGACAGAGGGGTGGCGGTGGACGTGGTATACTTGGACAGAGGGGTGGCGGTAGACGTGGTATACTTGAATTTTGCAAAAGTGTTTGACACAGTTCACCACACATGGCTAATGTGTTAGATAAAGTCTACAGGCTTGGGAAAAATCCGTATGTAAATAGACAGAAAACTGGCTAAAAGATGGTATTCAGAGAGTAGTGGTTAATGATTCATACTCTGAATGGTCTAGGGGTGTCAGTGGTGTACCCCAGGGTTCAGTGTTGGGACCCTTACTTTTTAATATATTTATAAACAATATAGGGTCTGGATTATAAATCCCATTTCAGTTTTGCAGATGACACCAAGCTGTGCAGTGGAATAACGTCCTCACAGGATGTCTCCAACTTACAAGCCAACCTCAATGCAATGTTTAACCACCCCCCGCCTGCCACATAATGAAATGATGGACGGGCGGTGGTTCTCTCGTTATGGGAGGACGTCAGATGACGTCTTCCCACTCTAACCGTGCGTGTGCACCCCCCGGGGGTGCGCAGCGTGGCGATCGGTGGTGCGCAGTGTCCCTGGGACACAGTGGATCACCGATCAGTGGAAAGAGCCGATGACTTTGGCTCTGTCATGTGATCAGCTGATCACATGTAAATACGGAAATGCCGGTTATCGGCATTTCTCTCCTCACGAGCTGTCACGGTGACAACTCGTGAGGAGAGGGGAGCCGGTAATCGGCATTCCTCAGAGGGGACATCTACACTGCATATTTTTGAAAAATAAAAACTTAAAATAGATTTTTTTAAACACTTCTTTCTTTTTTTGTCTGTAGATTCAGTCAAAAATAAAATGATTTTTACAAAACAGTATCGCCAAAAAAAGCCTAATTTGTCCTCAAAATACATTTATGAATTACTTTCTTATCCTAAGTAATAACAAAGTTATCACTGAAAAACAGGTACGCTTTAGTGGTTCTAAAGCCTTATCCTAGGTTCACACCTAAGCGTTTTCCGTAGCGTTTTGCAGAAACGCAGTACAGTCCAGTTAACATGATTTCCTATGGAACACAATCACATCTCCGCGTTTTCACCCGGTGCATATTTTGGAAAGGGTCAGGAACTTTTCTAAATGCAAAAAGTTGCGTTTTGGGTTCTAAAGACTTCAATGGACATGCTGCAGAAAAGCATGTAGTGCGTTTTTGCTGCATTTTGCATTTTAATCTGCCTAGCAACAAGAAAAACAAAAAGCAAAACACAGCAAAAACGTGGCTAAAATGTATGTGCAAATCACAACGCAAAACGCACTACAGAAACGGATCAAACACAAACTGAATAGGTGTGAACCTAGCCTTAAGGTTTTCATCTTAATGCATTTTATGCATTAAAGTGAAAAACTTTCTGTGCTGCACAATCCTCCCCGGCCCCATCATATACTTGCCTGAGCCTGATCCAATCCAGCGATGTGCATGAGAGCAGTGGCTCTTGCAGCTGTCTTCCTCCTCCCTGGGCAAATTGATAGCAGAAGGAGCCAATGTTAACCTCCCTGGCGGTATTCCCGAGTGTAGCTCGGTGTAAAGTTTCAATACCACTCAGGCTTACCATGCAGCGTTGCTCCGCGATCCCTCGGTCACTTACCTTGTCCTGCGCTCCCGCGATGTCCCTCCTGCAGTGTCCCCGGCAATGTAATCCGGCGGATGCCGGCATCTGTCTTCTGGGTTCCATTCCCTGCGAGCGTCAGGATGTACGGGGGACGGAACGGTGGGAAATTTGAAAATGACAAAAAGTGACAGTCACAAAAATCACTAAAATCACATAGTAAAAACATTACTGTATCAAACCATTTCACATACATTTTGTCCCGAGTGCTTTGTCCTGTGCCCTGCCTGCATTTTTACTGTTCTTTCTGCCTGGAAACTGAGAAAAGTCCATGGAGTCCAAAAAGCATCCCTTTTGGTCAAAAGCGGTTTTAGACCGGCTAGAGAACAGCGATAGTAAAAATTTCAGTAACTTTGGTTTGATTATATTATTGAATTAAATGTATTATTATTATTGTAGCAATATGTTATATGCTGTGTATGGCCTCTAGGGGTCTCACTACTTAGATACTGGTACAACTGTGTTATTGCCTCTCTTTGGTTGTAGTTCTAATGCAGACACATGTATAATGGCAGCTATGAGCACCTAATAAAATGTCTGCTACTAACTACAGTGTATGAGCATCTGAGCAGGATCAACTAACAGAACATGGTGGCAGCTGGGCACTGAACCTCTGAATAGCAAGTCTTCTGTCTACAAATACAGATTGTGTGACACTAGAACTGTACAGAGAATCAGCAACTGTAAGTACAGAGTCCCTATCAGACTGCACTATGGAGAGTGGCCTGAAACCCCCTCAGAGACTGGATGTCACTTCTTCCAATCTCTCACAGACATGGAGACACTGGAAGGAAGAGTTTACTCTGTATGTGGGACCTGACAGTGGCACCCAGAGATGAGCAGAGGGAAGTAAAGCTGTTTTATTACTTGATTGGGGAAAAAGGCAGAGAACTAGCCGAGACCCGGCTCACAGACAGCATGGCACTGACAGACATACTGCAAGCATTTGATAAGCACTGTGACCCCAAAAAGAATGAGACAGTGGAGAGATACAAGTTCTTCTCAAGGAATCAGGAGATTGGGGACAGTGTGGACAGATATGTGACAGAGCTGAGGAGACTGGCTGCAACCTGTGGATTTGGGGACATCAGGGACTCCCTTATCCGAGACAGGATAGTGTGTGGCATCAGAGACTCTCACCTCAGAGAAAGATTACTGAGGGAGGAAGAGCTGGCTTTGGAGAAATGTATACAAATCTGCAGGGCTGCTGAGCTGACTAAAGACAGGCTGAAGATGATGGAGGGCACCAGTGATGCCTCAGTACATGCAGTATCTGTGAAAGGCAGAGCAAGGTCCAGGCTCCCTGTGAGCTCAGTCCAGTGTAAATACTGTGGCAAAAGACATGAAAGAGACAAAGAGAAATGTCCAGCGTATGGGGAGTCCTGCAGGACTTGTGGCAAGATGAACCACTTTTCAGCTGTGTGCAGATTCAAAACCAGCAAACAGTACAGACAAGTCCACACAGTGACCCAGGACACAGACGAGGACAGCACAGAGGGCATCACATGGCTGCAGCTGCAGTCTGCAACAGAGAACGTCAATGTAGTCAAACAGCCAGTAGCCAATGATGCAAAGCAGCTCTTTGCCATATTTATGGTGAATGAACAGCCCATAAGATTTCAGCTGGATTGTGGAGCAAGCTGCAATGTCATTCCATTTACTCTGCTTAACAAACAGGTTCCCATTGAGCCCACTGATAAGGTACTGGTCATGTACAACAAAAGTGTTCTGAAAACCATGGGAACATGCAAGCTAAAATTAAGAAATCCACGTAACAGAAAGAGCTACAGAGTGGAGTTTACTGTGTTGCAGGAGGACGATCACATTCCTTTGCTGGGAGTTAAAGCAGTTCAGGCTATGGACTTAATAAAGGTGCAGTCCCATAACATCATGGCTCTGGAAGTTTCTGAGAATACTCAAAATCCTAAACAAAAGGCAGAATACATTTTGGATTTTCACCACATAAAAACAGAGTATGCTGATTTATTTGAAGGTGATGGGTGCCTGGAAGGTAAATACAAACTAGAAATTGATCATACAATACAGCCTACCAGACTGCCTACAAGAAGAGTACCTGTAGCCTTAATGCAACCGCTTAAAGAGGAACTGCAGGATTTGCACAGCAGAGGTATGATAGCACCAGTACAGGAAAGCACAGACTGGATAAGCAGTTTGGTGATAGTGAAAAAACCATCAGGCAAGTTAAGAATATGCATTGATCCTAAGCCACTGAACAAGGCCCTTAAAAGAAATCACTATCCAATGCCAACAATAGAAGATATTCTACCAGATCTATCAAAGGCTAAAATATTTTCGGTATGTGATGTGAAAAATGGGTTCTGGCACGTGGAACTGGATAAAGAATCAAGTTTATTAACAGCATTTTCTTCCCCATTTGGACGCTATAAGTGGCTTAGAATGCCAATGGGAGTAAGCCCGGCTCCAGAAGTGTTCCAACAAAAATTGATGCAAGCTTTGGAAGGACTGTCTGGAGTAAAAATAATAGCAGACAATATACTAATAGTTGGGGAAGGTGATGATCTAGAATCCGCAACAAAGGATCACGATAAAAAGATGATACAATTCTTAGACAGATGTAGAAAAAAAAATCAAACTGAACCTGGAAAAATTCAAACTAAAAATGACAGAAGTACCATATATTGGACATCTTCTTACCTCAAATGGTGTTAAAGTCGATCCAGAGAAGGTGAGGGCAATACAGGACATGCCGACACCTACAGATATACGTGGAGTACAACGATTCCTGGGCATGGTGAATTATCTTTCCAAATTTTGCAAGCATTTATCAGACATGTGTGAGCCACTGAGACAGCTAACTCACAAAGACGTACTCTGGGAATGGACAGAAAGCCATGAAACTGCTTTTCAGTCAGTGAAAAATGCTATTGCAGACGCAGCAACGCTAAAATATTTTGATCCAGATCAAGCAGTGGTAGTACAATGTGATGCCTCAGAAACCGGCCTTGGAGCCACACTAATGCAGGATAAACAGCCAATCACATATGCAAGCAGAGCGTTTACTCTAACAGAGCAAGGATATGCTCAAATCGAGAAGGAACTACTAGCGGTAGTATTTGGGTTAGAGAAATTTCACCAGTACACCTACGGTCGACAAGTGGTGGTGCATTCAGATCACAAGCCTTTAGAAAGTATTACAAAGAAGCCACTACTGAATGCCCCAAAAAGACTGCAGCGTATGCTGTTAAGGCTTCAGAAATATGATTTTAACATTTGTTACTGTCCAGGAAAGGATTTACTGATTGCAGATGCCCTAAGCAGAGCTTACTTACCCATCACAAATGAAGAAGAAAAAGACATTGAAAGCATCAATATGTGTGAATATCTGTCTGTCTCAAAAGACAGACTGAAACAAATACAGACCTGCACAGCGGAAGATAAAACTCTACAGATCCTAAAGACTGTCATCTTGAAGGGATGGCCAAAACACAAGCAGCATGCTCCAATGGAGGTTTCTCCATTTTTTCATATAAGAGATGAACTCTCTGTGCAGCATGGAATCATCTTTAAAGGAGAAAGGGCTGTCATACCAACATCCCTTAGAAGAGACATTATAGAAAGATTGCACTCGACTCACTTAGGTGTAGAAGGATGTCTACGTCGTGCACGAGAATATGTTTATTGGCCTGGAATGAATGACCACATAAAAAACTTTATAGCACAGTGTGAAATATGTGCATCGTGCAATGATAAGCAACCGAAAGAGACATTGCAACCACATACAATTCCAAACAGACCATGGTCAAAAGTAGGAACAGATCTGTTCACGTGGAACGACAAGGAATATCTGGTAACTGTGGACTATTTTTCCAACTTCTGGGAGATAGACTACTTACAGGACACAAGGGCCAAAACAGTAATTAAAAAAACTCAAGGCCCATTTTGCCAGATATGGCATTCCGGATATTGTGTTCTCTGACAACGCCGCTCAATTTACATCGGAAGAATTCAAAAAATTCAGGGAGAGGTGGGAATTTGAGCACTAGACATCATCTCCTGGATATCCACAGAGTAATGGTAAAGCCGAGTCAGCAGTAAAAACAGCCAAAAGACTCATGCAAAAGGCAAAACAGGCAGGTACAGAGATATACCTGTCTATACTGCACCACAGAAACACACCCACACAAGGCCTAGACACCAGTCCAGCACAGCGGCTTATGAGTAGACGTACAAGGACTCTCTTACCAACTGCAGGTCAACTACTAAAGCCAAAGCTTGTGGGCAATGTTAAAGCCAAACTAACGAAGAAACAAGATAGGCAAGCTTTCTATTATAATAAATCTGCAAAAGATCTGCCTGTTCTCCAGAGCAATGAAAATGTACGGATTCAGCCAATAGGCAAATATGACAAACACTGGAAAAAAGCGAAGGTTGTACAGAAATTGGGACCACGGTCCTATGAAATTATAACAGAGGAAGGAAGAAGATGGAGGAGAAATCGGAGACATCTGAGAAAAACACAAGAAGGAGATGATACAGGGCCCTGGGAACAGTATATGGACACTCAAAGCGATGAGACTATGAATACCAGCAACAAAGAAACAGGGACTGCTGAGGAGCATAGGGAGGTCTCTAAGCAGAGAGAGACAGTCCCAGAAAATAGACTGCCAGAATCAGAAGAACACCAAGATTTCTGTGAAGAAACCTCATATGTTACGCGAGCTGGCAGAACAATCAGAAAGCCGGCTCACCTCACTTAAGGATTATATTTAACTTATAGCTATGTTCTACTTCACCATTTTGTGTTTGTTATATTTCATTGTTCTTTTATTTAAAAGAGAAAGGATGTAGCAATATGTTATATGCTGTGTATGGCCTCTAGGGGTCTCACTACTTAGATACTGGTACAACTGTGTTATTGCCTCTCTTGGTTGTAGTTCTAATGCAGACACATGTTTAATGGCAGCTATGAGCACCTAATAAAATGTCTGCTACTAACTACAGTGTGTGAGCATCTGAGCAGGATCTACTAACAGAACAATTATATTATTATTTTTTTTGATTATTTATTAAATTATAATTTATGATTTCGTGTTTCAAGTTTTATCCTACCCGGGATGTTTACTAGGATCTTGTTCGGACAGATTTCAGTGAGATATTCCTAAGAATTACAGGCCTACAATATAAAACGCCAAATTTCCATGCAAAATAATGGTACCGCTTTCAGCACCAAAAATCGGAAATAATCATACCGCAGGGAGGTTAATCAACTGCTGTGCCGAGGGAGTGGGGGACGGGGTTGATCGTCCCACTCTTTGTCAATAGACGCAGACTGGACAGCTTGGTAGCGAGCCCACACAGCTGCCCCTATGGAAAGCAGCTTTTCATGGGGGCACCTGCCAAGGAGAAGGGGCCTGGAGCACCAGCGGGAGACCATAAAAGAAGAGGATCGAAGCTGCTTAATGCAAAACAATTTCACAGAGCAGGTAAGTATGACATGTTTGGTATTTTAATTTTTTTTTTTTTTAAATAAAGCTCTAAATTCTCTTTAAGGACCAGTACTCTTGTTCACATGTAATAATCAGTTTTTTGTAAGAAATGTACTTAGAATTCCCAAACATTATATATGTTTTTAAAGCAGAGGCCCCAGAGAATAAATTGGTGGGGTTTGCATTTTTTTATGTCACAGGGTATTTATGCAGCTGCTCTTTAAATGCAATGTTTTTGAGGAAAAATAAAAATGTTAAATTTTAATGCAAAAAAACACAATACGTAACAACATTTTTTTCTACAATATAAAAGATGGTGTTACGCCAAGTAAATAGATACCAAACATGTCAGGCTTTAAAATTGTGCACGCCCCTGCAACGGCAACAAACGACGTACATTTTTCATATCTTTTAAAAGCCTTTACAGGTTACCACTTTAGATTTACAGATGGGGTCTGGAGCTAGAATTACTGTCCATGATCTGACGTGCATGGTGATATTTCACATGTGTGGGCCAACCGATGTTTATGTGTGTGCAGGTCCGATGCATGCGTTTGCCTTTGCATTCAAGCACAGGGGGGATGGGGACACTTTAACTTTTTTTACACTGTCATCCCTTGTTTCAGCAATAGTCCTGTGACAGGAACTCTTTATAGAGGGATCTGGGGTCAATAAGACCCAAAATCCCTCCTCTGCAGTAAAAGCATTCAATCACATCAAGATCGGTGTGATTGAATGCTTTTATTTTTTAAAAATAGCGCCATATTTCCGAGTAGACTAGAAGTGATGTTAGGTCATTGCTTCCGGTTTACTATTTAATAGAGCTGAACAAAGCCAATCCGATCTTTGTTCAGCCTTGTGAATAGCCGGCGGCAGTACCGGCTGGTCGATTGGGACTTCCGGTGGGACGGGATATCCTGTTACAGCGGTGGAAGTCAGAAGGGATGTCCCTTTCTGCTGCTTGTAATAGCCGTAATAGTTAGCTGCTATGAATACTATTACTCCTAGATTGTAAGCTCCCAAGATCAGGGCCCTCCTATCCCTCTTGTATTGAACTGTATTGTTGCTGTATTGTCTCCCATTATATTGTAAAGCGCTGAGCAAACTGTTAGTGCTATATAAATCCTATATAATAATAATAATAATATTACAAGAAAGCCAACCTTTGGCTGAAAATAATGCTACAGCTGCAGGCATCATCCTGGTACAGCCACTTGAGAACACGTGACGCGTCAGCAAGTACATTTTAAAATTTGCAACAATAATCTAACATGCTCACCTGGAGAAAGTCATTAGGGATCTCCGTTATTTTAGCACTGCAGTCCATGGGGTTTCCATAGGTGATATGCAGAAGAGAAATCACTGACAACAAGTGAGAGAGTGTGACAGTACCCATGTCTGTGTTACAGTGAAAATGTGACCACATGCTACAATAAAATCATCTACAGTTCTACAGCACAATATTGTGAAACCACTGCCTACTCAACATCCACTGCTTCGCCTATAGTGCTCACAGGTCAGCGGTCTGAAGGGCGAAAGCTTTCAAAGTGTACAGATCAATTACTGGAAAAGCTGTCCAGGACAAGAATAAACAACTTGCTCCACTAGTATTTCTGAAATATTTTCTAAAGTGGATAATATATTCCCAAAAAGGGTGTATTTTCTTGTACAACAGGAAATATTGAGCAAGTAGAAAGCATCTGGTTTGCCAATGGATCCAGAAATGTTTCATCTCACAGGATCGTGGGCACAGAAAACACTGAACACTTTCACCTGCCAAAAACTCACATAGGGTTTGGGGTGAAACCGGTGTGCTTAATCAGATGGTGTATAGCAGGGGTCTCCAAACTTTCTAAACAAAGGACCAGTTTATTGTCCTTCAGACTTTTGGGGAAGCCGGACTGAGACCAGTGGGATATGAATATTCTGTGGCATCAGTGAGAGTAAACATCAATATGTTTGGTATTAGGGGGAGTAATAGTGCCCCATCACTGATATCATTGGGAGGAATTGTGCCCCATTGTTGGGGCCAGTGGAATAAATGGTGCCCCATTGTTGATGTCAGTTGGCAGAACAGTCTCATATAAGTGGGAAGATGCAAGGGCAGAAAAAGGCAAGCTAAGGCCGCATCCGGCCCCTGGGCCGCAGTTTGGAGACCACTGGTGTATAATGTCATCTTCCGGGGAAACCCCCAGAGCCCAGCAAAAATAAATCTCTAAGATAATGGTACCAATGTCCAACATTCACATTACACATCATTAAATCCATATACAGGTGAAACTCAAAAAATTAGAATATTGTGCAAAAGTTCATTTATTTCAGTAATGCAACTTAAAAGGTGAAACTAATATATGAGATAGACTCATTACATGCAAAGCAAGATAGTTCAAGCCGTGATTTGTCATAATTGTGATGATTATGGCTTACAGCTCATGAAAACCCCAAATCCACAATCTGGTCTAAATGGTCTCTCATGCAGGCCATAGATGGGTCGAAAATCGGCCGAATTTTCGGCCGAAAATAAAATCGGCCGATTTTCGGATCGTTAGTGGGCTATTTGTTCGGCCGTTTTTCGGTATTTTGGCAGATTTTTTTTATCAGTAAAGTTGGAAAAAAATCGGCCGATTTTGCCGATCGGCCGATTTTCGCGGCAATGATGGGCAAATCGGTCGATTTTTTACCGATAAAAAATCTGCGCATGAGCAGTGACCTGCAAGAGGAAGACAAAAAGAAGAAAAGAAGAAGAGGATGAAGAAGAGGAAGAAGAAGAGGATGAAGAAGAAGAGGATGAAAAAGAAAAAGAGGATGATGAAGAAGAAGAAGAAGGAGAAGAGGATGATGAAGAAGAGGAAGATGAAGAAGAAGAGGATGATGATGAAGAAGAAGAAGAGGATGGTGATGATGATGAAGAAGAGGATGATGAGGATGAAGAAGAAGAAGGATGATGAAGAAGAGGATGATGATGATGATGAAGAAGAAGGATGAAGAAGAAGAGGATGATGATGAAGAAAAAGAGAAGAAGAAGAGGATGATGATGATGAAAAGAAGAAGAGGATGATGATGGTGATGATGAAGAAGAAGAGGAGGATGATGATAATGAAGAAGAAGAAGAGGATGATGATGATAATGAAGAAGAGGAAGAAGAAGAAGAGGATGATGATAATGAAGAAGAAGAGGATGATGAAGAAGAAGAAGAGGGTGATGATGAAGAAGAAGAGGATGATGAAGAAGAAGAAGAAGAAGAAGAAGAGGATGATGATAATGAAGAAGAAGAGGATGATGATGAAGAAGAAGAAGAAGATGATGATAATGAAGAAGAAGAAGAGGATGATGATGATGAAGAAGAGGATGATGAAGAAGAAGAAGAGAGATGAAGAAGAAGAAGAAGAAGAAGCGGATGATGAAGAAGAAGAGGATGATGGTAATGAAGAAGAGGATGATGATGATGATGAAGAAGAAGAAGAGGATGATGATAATGAAGAAGAAGAAGAAGAAGAGGATGATGATGATGATAATGAAGAAGAAGAAGAGGATGATGAAGAAGAAGAAGAGGATGATGATAATGAAGAAGAAGAAGAAGAAGAAGAAGAAGAAGAAGAGGATGATGACGGTGATGATAATGAAGAAGAAGAAGAGGAGGATGATGATGATGATAATGAAGAAGAATAGGATGGTGATGAAGAAGAGGATGATGATGATGAAGAAGAAGAGGATGATGATGACGAAGAAGAGGATGATGATGATGAAGAAGAAGAGGAGGATGATGATGATGATGAAGAAGAGGATGATGATGATGAAGAAGAAGAAGGATGATGAAGAAGAAGAAGAAGAGAAGGAGGATGATGAAGAAGAAGAGGATGATGATGATGATGAAGAAGAAAAAGAGGATGATGATGATGATGATGATGATGATGATGATGAAGAAGAAGAGGATTATGATGATGAAGAAGAAGAAGAAGATAATGAAGAAGAAGCAGAAGAAAAAGAGGATGATGGTGATGGTGATGAAGAAGAAGAGGAGGATGATGATTAAGAAGAAGAAGAAGAAGAAGAAGAGGATGATGATGATGAAGAAGAAGAGGATGGTGATGATGATGATGATGATGAAGAGGAAGAAGAAGAAGTAGAGGATGATGATGATGATGAAGAAGAGGATGATGATGATGATGATGATGATGATGAAGAAGAGGATGATGATGAAGAAGAGGATGATGATGATGAAGAAGAAGAAGAAGGATGAAAAATAAGAGGAATTCCAGTCCGGCAAAAAGAGTCCCTGCAGAGAGCTCTGCTATTTCTTTGACAGTTCTTTGACAGTTCCTTGACATTTACAGAGGTTGCAACATTGTATCTATTTGTTTCCGAATAAAAACATCTGTATCCTAAATGGATACAAATAGATACATTGTTGCAACCTCTGTAAATGTCAAGGAACTGTCAAAGAACTGTGAAAGAAATAGCAGAGCTCTCTGCAGGGACACTTTTTGCCGGCTGTAGACGGGATGAAAATCGGCCAATTTTTTTTACCATTGCTGGTAACGTCGGCCGCTTGAGCGACTGATTTTTCGTTTTTTAAAAGAAAAATCGGCCGTTTTTCTCCCCGTCTATGGCCTGCATCAGTCTGGTTCAGTAGGAATCATAATCATGGGAAAGACTGCTGACTTGACAGTTGTGCAAAAAACCATCATTGACACCCTCCATAAGGAGGGAAAGCCTCAAAAGGTAATTGCAAAAGAAGTTGAATGTTCCCAAAGTGCTGTATCAAAGCACATTAATAGAAAGCTATGTGGAAGGGAAAAGTGTGGAAGAAAAAGGTGCACAAGCAGCAGGGATGACCGCAGCCTGGAGAGGATTGTCAGGAAAAGGCCATTCAAAAGTGTTGGGGACTTTCACAAGGAGTGAACTGAGGCTGGAGTCAGTGCATCAAGAGCCACCACACACAGACGGATCCTGGACACGGGCTTCAAATGTCATATTCCTCTTGTCAAGCTGCTCCTGAACAACAAACAACGTCAGAAGCGTCTTACCTGGGCTAAAGAAAAACAGACCTGGTCTGTTGCTCAGTGGTCCAAAGTCCTCTTTTCTGATGAGAGCAACTTTTGCATCTCATTTGGAATCCAAGGACCCCGAGTATGGAGAAAGAATGGAGAGGCACACACTGCAATATGCTTGAAGTCCAGTGTGAAGTTTCCACAGTCTGTGTTGATTTGGGGAGCCATGTCATCTGCTGGTGTTGGTCCACTGTGCTTCATTAAGTCCAGGGTCAACGCAGCCATCTACCAGGAGATTTTGGAGCACTTCATGCTTCCTTCCGCAGGCGAGCTTTATGGGGATGCTGACTTCATTTTCCAGTAGGACTTGGCACCTGCCCACACTGCCAAAAGCACCAAAACCTGGTTTAATGCCTGTGGGATGACTGTGCTTGATTGGCCAGCAAACTCGCCTGACCTGAACCCCATAGAGAATCTATGGGGCATTGCCAAGAGAAAGATGAGAGACATGAGACTGAACAATGCAGAAGAGCTGAAGGCCGCTATTGAAGCATCCTGGTCTTCCATAACACCTCAGCAGTGCCACAGACTGATAGCTTCCATGCCATGCCGCATTGAGGCAGTAATTGCTGCAAAAGGGGCCCAAACCAAGTACTGAGTACATATGCATGCTTATACTTTTCAGAGGTCCGATATTGTTCTATGTACAATCCTTGTTTTATTGATTGCATGTAGTATTCTAATTTTCTGAGATTGTGGATTTGGGGTTTTCATGAGCTGTAAGCCATAATCATCACAATTATGACAAATCACAGCTTGAACTATCTTGCTTTCCATGTAATGAGTCTATCTCATATATTAGTTTCACCTTTTAAGTTTCATTACTTAAATAAATGAACTTTTGCACGATATTCTAATTTTTCAAGTTTCACCTGAATATACAGTATATATATGGGGAATAAACAATAATACAAATAATTAAACTATGCCCTCTGAAAAAAAGAAAAAAAAACCCAAACCAAAAATAAATGTTAAGAAAGTGCTTCATATATTGTGAATATGCTGTACATAAATTAAAAAACAATATCAAAAGATAAAAACCATATGCACTCACACACTCCCATTGTGTATAAGCAGTTATACTCACACTTCCATGTATGTGAACGCCAACAGGTGTAACAGTAGTCCCCTGAGGAAGTCTTAGTAATGTCACCATGACCATAGTCATTGAGGGACCTCGTTTTTATGCCTATTGATGTTCATATACATAGGAGTGTTAGTATAAGTGCTTATACACACAGGGAATATGTGGATGCACATGGTTTTATCTTCTAATACATTTTCATAGCGGTACTTTCACTATCGTGAGTTTGTGTTATTCCCTTGGGCTTATATACTGTATGCTGGATTGCTACCTGGGAGACTTGATGATCTGGTCAGGTTTCAGTTGAGAGTGGAGAGAGGCTCCTAGAGTGAATTATCCTAAAGCGCTGTTTTGCCTTCCTGATATTAGGGTAAAACAAGAGGGTAAGTTGCTTTCCTATAGGTGGTGGCACAATTGGCAATGTTTTTTAATACATGTGTATGAAGATTTTATATATATATATATATATATATATATAGTATATCAACTATACTATATGCTCTGAATTATTTTGCACTTCTGTTATTTGCTGATAGTGGCACATTGGCATCAATTGCATGGATATATGGATTATATATGAATTGATATCAAATGTAGATACAGAATGTGAATTGGTATTTCTTATATATGTACAATATATTTCACAGTATATGAAGCACTTCCTTAATATTTAATTTAATATTGGGAATACAACCTGAATGTTGATGTCCCTCGAAGATCCATAGAATTGAATCCAAGCAGTGGAAGCTGCTCCCTCAATATGGGTTTTATTCACACTAAAGCAGGCATAACATTTGATGGCAATCTTCTTGAACATGTTCTCAATGCTGAGCTTCCTAAAGAACTACACACAGAAAATACTACATTGGGGGGGGGGGGGGGGCTCAGCCCCTGGTCCAGATGGATTTTCAACATTTTATTAAAAACAATTTGCCACCTTAGGAATACCTAAATGTGTAAAGCTCTAAAGTTAGGTACTTCAGGGGGGTCATTTCCCAGAGGAGATTCTGTTGTCCGATACGTCTCTTATCCCCAAAGCCATCGGAGATCATACCCTACTGCAAAATTATAGTCAGTTATAAATAATAACCTTAAAATATTTAGTAGGGTGTTGGCCTATGGACTCGCCACTGTGATTCCCTCTTTAATATCCCCATATTATTCTGGTTTTATAACAGATAACATCCATCTAGCCATTAATATAATACAAGAAGTGAACCTTAAATCTCTCAATGTTCTTCTGTTAAGCCTTGATATTCATAAGGCATTTGATAGTGTCACTTGGCAATTTGTTGATTTTTTTTTACAAGATACGGCTTTCAAAATAAATGTTTTCATGCATTTCAGGCCTTATATAACTACAATTGAGGATTTGTTTGCCCGGATACAATTCAGAATTTTTTAAGGTGGGTAGGGGAACCACTAAGGCTGCCCCCTATCCCCACTTTTATTTGCATTAACCACAGAAACATTGTCTACAGCTATTGTTCTACATCCAGACATTACAAGATATCTCACATCCAATTCCCAATATAGGCTCAGTTTGTATGCAGATGACCTATTACTGTTTCTCACACAACCTACCATATCCATGCTTAATTTGCTACAAATCCTGGGAGAGTTTTCTGTATTGTCTGGTTTATCCATAAATATTTTTAAATCTATAGGTATGCCTATCAATCGTCTTGAACCGTAGATCAAGGCTTTACGTTCCTCATTTGCTTTTGCATGGTCTGTGGAATCCCATATCTGGAAATCGTAACCCCTAATTTGCATTCTTTATTCTCTAAAAATTACCTTCCCCTTATTTCTGAACTCTGAGGTATGCTCGTTGTGGTTCTCTTATCACGTATCTTTTTTGAGCAGGGTCACAGCTATAAAAATATCAGTTCCCCTCAAATTTATTTACCTGTGTGGGTCCCTTCTGATTAGACTTACTAAATCCTTTCTAGACTCCCTTCATTCAGACATAAATAGTTTTATATGGTCTAAGTCATGTACTTGTTTTGCAAAAAATATTGCATACCGATCGCCATATGAAGGAAATCTAGGTTTGTTCAATATTTGGCTCTATTATGTATCTTCACGTTTATCACAAATGGCCCAATGGAATATTTACAAATCTAAAGTCCCGTAGGTTCAATTAAAAAGTGAATCTATTCGACCTTATCTTCTCCCGGGGCTATTGTGATCTAAAAATATCTTGCGGAGGGACCTTGCTTCTTTGAATAGCTTAATAACCCAATTGCTTAAATTTGTATGAAACAAAAATAAATTTCTCCTACACTTCCACAAGCGTCATTTATTGGCGACCCCCAGGTTTTCTGGGGATTTGGACTTTTCCTGGTGGAAGGCTAATAATTA